TGTAAAATAATTGAGCAAAATCCCTCACATACCAGGGCATGAAATTAATTTTTTTTTTGATAGTCACTTGGCTCCTAAATTTTTCAAAGTGGTAGCCAATTCGAAAAAAATTGGTCACCATTTTTAAAGACAAACAAAACCATTTTTTTATGCTGTCAGCGTCCTAGATAGAACCTCCAAAAGGAAGTTAGGAAAAAGATCTTTTACTTGCCACAAAGGATGGATGATACACAACATTTAAGCTTACCTAAATCCAAGATGGCATCTAGTCATCAATCGAGATGTATGTGCTGCATTTTGGAAACAAACTTAACAAGGAAGTTTGCCGCAGATTTATTTTTGAAAATCTTTTTAACTCACTATATCTCTAGGTAAGGTTATGATGAAGCATTCTAGTCAACAATCTGGTGACTAATTTTCAGGATTTGGTTGCCAAAGAGAAAAGTTTAGTCGCATTGGTGCCTGTATTAGGTGCAATTTCATGCCCTGCACACAGCAGATGGTATGATGATAGTCAAGAAATTGTTATGGAAACCTTACTACATGTACATGTAAGTGTGTTTTACTAAAAGAAAAGACAAACATGCCCAATTTTTATTTTCTTTATCCACATATACGATTTTTATATATTCACAGTCATTTATTCATCATTTTACAGGTTTATATGGAACCAACATGATGACCAGCTCCCAGTTGGCTTGTTAGCTCAGTTGGTAGAGCACTGCACTGGTATCACAGTGGTCATGGGTTCAAATCCCATACAGGCCTGAATTTTTTCAGGCCTTATTTTCACTACTGCTCAAGTAGTGTTCATTATTGCAAAGATTGCTTTCATATACAGAAAATCCTCACATTATGTTTACAGGTTGTTATGAATAGACTGCATACTCACTGGAATAGAATCAGGGATGCCTGCTGTTTTCAGACTTGCGATAGTCTGGATAAAGCGAGGAAGATATTTGCTGAATGCTGACAGAGAAGATGTCAAGTTCTGTAAAATACAAGGAATTTAATTAGGAAATCAGAAGCATATAACATTGAGACATATGCTGGTATACCTCCGATGAAATAAAATAATTATATTTCTAATGGGACTAATGAACATTTGGCAGGGTTGAAGCTGAGAAACTAGTCTGCTTCTTGAAATTGAAAGTGAGTCAGCTCAAGGCATTCAAAATCCAACAGTTATAAGTGTATAACCTCAGAAGTACCAAATGTGGTTTACTAAGCAATCATCAGCCAAAAATTCAGGATGCAAAGATGGCCACTTTTTCATCAGGTGATTTTTGCAGGCAGCTGAACTTCATGACAACCCTGATTTGAAATGAATTGTTTTATAGCAAGGCACAATAACTAATTCAATGACATTTAGCACAATATCATGTTTATTATTATACTTTTAAGGACAAGTTTTTGATTCAACTGCATTGCCTCTAGCAACCAACTTCAAAACTTAACTAATAATGAAGATCTGACAACAGTAAAGTGACATTACCTTGGCTTGTAAGACTCTCAACTTTGCAATAAGAATCTTTACACGTTCTTCCACTAACTCCAATAATGGCAAGTAATTCTGGAATTCTGATAATGGGATGATGAAAGAAAGTGCAGAAATGTTGATGCCATACTTGTCACAGCCTGAGAATATAAATGAATGACACACAATGCCATAATCCTTCACCACATATAGTTTTGTGTCCACCACATTTTCAGGTGCATCTCGTAAGAGTTCTCCATGGAGAGTTCGGCCGACCACATACTTGACACTTTTTTCCTGTTCAAAAAGGAAACCTTGTTAAAATGTAACTCTGAGTACCCACACCAAGCAACTAACACCATTTACAACACTTACCATAGCTGTAACCCTTCCAGTCTCAGGGGTGAAAAAATTATCAAGTGGGGGGGTATTGTTGAATTTTACAAAAATGTATCAGAACTTAACCCTTTCACTCACTCAAGTGACCCATAATAAATTTCTTCTTCCATAGTATCGACAAAATTTTTAGCAGGTAAGTGAGGAGAATAAAGAAAAAACTCAATTGGAGATTATTATTTCATCCAACACTAAACTCTTAGAGCTAGTATTATAAGAGATGTCTAGAATTCAGCTAGGAGGGTTACTAATGAGATCTTGGAAGTACAGGGTTAACTCCCAGGATTTATATCAATTATCCTAGCATTAATTCATGCAGCAAACAGGTACGAAAGACATTCGAACTGATCGGCTTGAGAAAGAAATCCTAGTAAAACACACACTTCTCTGCAAGACTTTTAAGGAAAAATGCAACCGTAAAATCGAATCACTAATGTCTAATTTTACCTGGGACTCTGTGTCTCCATTTCCTCTCCACACATGTTGAAGTCTTGGCCCCAAAACATTATCCCAACAAGACAACACTACAGCAACAAATGGTCCGCTCTCTTTAAGTACGGACATGTGACTTGGGGAGAGATTCGAAAACCGGAAGATGTCATCGGCAGGGGTAGTCCAAAAACTGGAGCTGTCGTCGTCACTGAAAACCTCTTCCAGTTTTGATATACCAGCCATACTTTACGCAAATAGCAGCTCTAGTAGAGCTAGATAGAATTTGCAATCATCCTTTCAACATTTCACTTTCACGAACAAAGAAGGGCATTTTGGTAGTCACTACCGCCATTTTAGAAATCAGCTGGTTCCCAGTTTGCACTCGCACCCAGTTCGCACGATCCTCGGGAAGTCCTCGGGAGCACGATTCAATTTCCGATTCGCCGATGTTGTCTTCGTGATGAATGCCTTGTGCTGTACCCAATACATTTGCGAAGAAGCCTAGTGTTTTCAGATCTTTTCACGTCTGGAAAGTAATCATGTAAACGAAACTAACAGATGTGATGCTATCATATACTTTTGACCTCGGATTGGACTGGCTTGACAAGCGCGGTTTATTACTGTGGAAAAGCGCGTTCACTTTCACTTTTGGAACAAATATTTTAGCAGGTGCTGGGTACGATCATCATGTGAGCCAGTTGGAGTTTTTAGCTGAAAACTAGCATTTAATTTATGGATTTTTGAGTACGGGATGCCATTTTCATGGTCGTTTTGGTGATTTACTACTGAGCCACAGAAGAGTCTGTGGGAAGTCAGGCCATTACGAGGTTCACATGTGATACTTAGTCCTGTATACGACTAGGATTGAAAATGTCAAAAGCGTACTTTGAGGAGGCAGAATAAAAGAGGTGAGAAATTTTGAGCTCGGTAATGAATTAACGAAGCAGATTGATCAAAGAGCTGTTCAATCAATAGAGAGTTCGGTTAATTGAATTTCCCGCAATAATCATCGCAAATCAATGACGTCAGAACTAAATTACATCAATACCTTCTATGACATCATAATCACTTTTCGCTTTGGTTTCAGCGAGGAAGCAGGTTCATTTAGAGATGTGAGCTTGTATTTGTCAAATTCAGTACAAATATTCAAGTGAAAAGTTAAACAAATGACGAATAGGGTCCAACCCGTTGTTATAGAGGTGGGCGAAAGCTCTGAAGCGAGCGGACAGCGTGAAAAATGGACCTCCAAAGCTGACTTCATAGCGTCATGTATTGGCTATGCGGTTGGCCTGGGGAATATA